TTTGTTGCAAGGTCATAGACACCAAAAAAAGAAATCTCCAAGACCTTATGGAGGAGAATGGGCATCTGTTTGGAGGGCTATGGTTAGAGAAAATCGAAGGCTTTTCGAAGTGCATGGGTAGGGAAGAGGTTTTAGACTTAGCTTAGAATCATGGCTCTTGTTGGTGTATATTCTCTAGTTCCTTGGGAATTTTATATTCACCAATGGTGAGAACTAATTAGAACTTTTAAAATAATAGGGACTAAACTGAAAAAAATACCCAAAGATTGGGGATTAAGACATATATTTAACCTTTAAATTTTAAAAAGATGTTGCAGGTTGCAACATATTCCAAATCTCTGAGGCTTCATTGATGCTAATGGATAGCAACTTGAACCAATGCTCACTTTCAGATGGCCTGATACTAGGATATACATCAGATTTCAGAAAGCATTTTTTTATGTCATTATTAGGTATTGGCCAAGACAAGGAGCTGCCTTTCATCAGTCTTTTTGACAATATTACTTTTCATGCTTTATCATGGTGTAAAACATCCCCCTATTTTCATTCTTACAGTACGAACTCTTTATTAACCAATTGGAGAAGTTTTCTGTAACTCCTTTGGTTTTTTGGTGGGTTCGCCCCACTGTAATTTCATCCATGAATGAAATTGTTTCTTATCAAAAAAAAAAAAAATTGTTAGGTATTGGCACTTTCAGAACAAAAGAAATGGGTAATCCACACATCAACAGAAGCATCTGTAGATAGAATTGTACTAATACCTGTTTCTTAGCTACTAGTATTTGATTTTTCATGAATATTAAATGGTAGGATTAAAAACAGAATAACAAGGAATTTGTAGTTGCCTGAATTCGTCAACTTCAATAGCTCAAAGATTCTGTCAATTGTCGCCTCACATATCATCTCAGATGTAAAAACAGCACCAGGAGTGGGCCCTTGAGAAGGAGACCTATAGCAAGGAGCCACAAGAAGCACACGCTTCCACCAGTCAGGTGATGGAGTTGTACGAAGAGCATGCCTTATACAACGCATAGCTCTTTCCCAATCTCGAGTGCCTCTCTGAATAGTAGATGCAACATCCTAAACCAAACAAAGGAGACCAATTTAACCACCACCTTTACAGAATGTCAATCAATTGAATAATTAGAAAAGGGCATGTCTCAGTTACTGTATGAAAATTGAAAACCACCCCAAATATTTAAAGAAAAAGGCATACAAAATATTTAAGAGGGGAGAAAATCTTGATACAGAATTCAAGTTGAATTTCTATAATAGGAATGACACAACATGCAAAGTTAGGACTCGTTCACATTGATTGAATTAAAAATGTACTGTTGTGGCATTTTATAAAGGTACACAAGGATACGGGGACAAGAAATAATACTCAATATTTAACAGATCATAAAAAATCTGAAATCACAGTTGATGAATGTTTTACTACACATATTAAAGGCAATTAGACAAAAAACTTCATTGGTCCCCACTTTTTCATAATGAAGCTATAAAGAAGCAGGATTTATTACATATAGATAACTCCAATATTTTTGCAGCTTACAACTTACACCCAGACCTAATATGCCTCCAAAACTAATCTCATCAAAGAATGGAACAAATTGACAGTTGGCAGGAGGGAAACGAGGGCATGTTCACCTTTAATTCTCTTTTATTTCTAACTCTCTCAAATCTCTAGACAAGAATCAATTGGTTTTCCTCTTTTTACTCATCTATTCTGACACTGAATAAAAAATTCCTTTAAGCTCTAGAGTAAGTTATTCACCTCCCCATGCAATGGTTCACCCAGTACACTTGGATATGTTATTGGTGAATAGCGCAAGCTTGCTACTGCTTCACCAGATATGTTGTGCATTGTTTGAGAAAAAATACGTTGAGTCCCAAATGTAGGGCAATGAAGGTGTTGATCTAACATCTGCATATGCATTGCCATCATATCTCGCCTCCTATGGATCTCCAAGATGAGTGTAAACAACGCTTCATCGTCAGGAATGTTATCTATAAATTGCAAGCCACTGCGTAGTAATTCATAGAAGGGCACTCGGCATTTGTTCTCTTCAACTAAAAGCCAGACCACATCCAAACAGCTATGTAGCCATTCAATGAGAGCCTTGTCAGGCCTCCAGGAATTCATATGCTCAGATTCCTCAATCCCTTGTTGCCGCTGATCCCAATTAACCATCCAATTCAGCATATGGGAAAATATATCAGCATGGGTCGCTGGTTTCAAATTAAATTCAAGACCACTTAAGATAATCTTGCAACAAAGCTGACGTAGACTACTTATTGCATTATTTCTAAAAAATGAATTGATCCTAACTGCAGACTGCAATCCTGCCCCAGAAAGATCAGAGGATTTGATTGGTGATAATGCTGTGCAAGAAGATGGATCAATACTTGATTGAGCAGGTGAACTGATTCCATGAACTGATGGTAATGGAGAGGCAGGATTGGAAGACTGAAAAGTAGAACTATTAGGGACTGGGTTTGAGACTGGAAGCACCGCAGACTGTGACAAATTCGTTGATGAGACAGTAGGCGTGGCTTGGGTTCCCTGGCCCACAGAAACTTCTGCAGATGAGACTGAAGAAAGAAGGGATGGCAAAAAGGTGTCCCAATTGATGTAACATATACTGCATAAACTTCGTAAAGAAAAGAGGAGAAATTCTGCCCTTGGTACATGACCACTGCACTGCACCACTAGGGAGATGAGAACTGACTCAGTCACAGCACGCAATTGATCATGGTCCTGAAACGTCGGCCGTTCATGAATCAGTGTTCAAATATCATTGAGTGAAATAGAAGCAAGTAAAGAAGTCAAAGGCTTTATGATATTAAATTCTAAATTAGGTTCTGCAACTCACTGCAAATTGATTCTGAACTTGCTCAAAATCTAAAAGGAATTGCTCATTTCGAGGAGGAAGCTCTCTGTTAATAGCTAGTACACGCTTTTGAGCCTTGTTCCTGAAGATATGTCATGAAAATTAAGATTAAAGCAGTACATAAGAAGAAATAAACTTGGAAATCATCAAAACAACACTTTTTCTTTATTCTAATCAATTTGGCAATTTATACGGCTATTAAATATATACTGCCATTATTGACCACCATAAACTAAAATCATTTTATTATTCCAAAATTAGGTTATTAAAAAGAATTCATTAATGTAGCGGCAAATGACCAGGAGTCACATAATAACTTTGTACATTAAACCTATGTCTGTAACTTAACAGCTCCCAGTTTTGATATCTTCAACCAGTCATTTAATTTAGGAAAATTTGCAAAAAAACCACCTAAAAACTATGAAAGATAATATGATGTTACTCTAGAATTTTTAATTGGAGTAATCACTCTAAAACTATTTAAAATCCTTGTGCGAATCTAATGGTCCTCCCAAAAATGAAGATGGTTCTCATTTCCAATAGACAGTTTAATAGAACAATAATGGCAAGGTAAATCTTGAGTAGTTAACTTTCAAGGACTTCGGTGGTGAGTGTTGAAAAAACCAGATAGTCTTGATAACAGCCTAAATAGTTAGTATCTACGGAGAGGCTTCTCCCCTTGCATCACGATTTTCTCTACAAGAAAATATGGAAGCCATCATGGATCTTCCTTTACAAGTTGCTAAGGAAGACATTGTCTCCTCCCTCAAGCTCATATCTAGTTTATCTCCATCTCAATCAGATGATTATTTATCCTCGCTTAATTCCAAGCTCATCAAAATTCATGAAGAAAGGGTTGCCCTTTTAGAAGATCATTTTAGAAGAAAAAGAGTTAAAAGCGGAGCAAGATAGAGAGATTGCCGAGATCAGGGCCAAGTTTTCTCAAGATCTCAAAGCCCTTCTCCAAGAAGATGTTTATGATGATGAAGACTTCTAGAGTTTTTGAGTTTGTTTTCTTGCAATTAGGAGGCTCTTTCTCAAAGAAGTTCTTATGATCTTTATGTAGCTATTATTATTGTTTTGCGGGGTTGTAATACCCTCTATGTTGTTTTTCCTCTTTTTTTCTTTTGTTTTCTTCACTCCTATTTGGGAGTTGTATCTTTTGAGCAATTTTGTTCCTTTTCTTCTAAAAAAAATAGTTAGTATCTGCATAAACAGTCTAAAGTCTCAAAAAAGGTACGCTATGTTATTATATAAATTCTGAATCAGAATTTCAGAAATATCAAAGAAATGCGCTAAAAATTCTCCAAGAGAGAATTACACCACATCAAAAGAGTACTATGACAGCAGTTGGCATTTTTTAAGACAAAAGTTTACCTGTTAAAAACAGAGTAGTGAGATTCACCATGTTTTTAAATTATCCAGACGCATGTAGAAGGTATCATTATATCAATCTTATGAGAAGAAGGATTGCAAACTAACCAGGAAAAAAATACCAGCAATAACACATTCACGCTCTGGTGCAAACATGAAGAAGGAAATAGAAATAAACACTCACGGAGGTTCTCGAGACGAATCTTCAGGCTTTGGACGGTTACTTCTCTGCTCAAAAAAATTGCAAACAAATAAACACAGTGGAATAGAGTTAGAAAGAATGCGGAACAAGGGCAATTATGTTATTACTCCTAAGTAGAGGTCGAAGAGATTAACAATGGCAGCTCGAGCAGGGTGAAACTGGTAAGCGCGGGAAGTGGAGACTGCTGAAGCCGATAATGCTCGCTGCGGTTGATCCATCTTCTCATTTCGAGTCCCAATAGCTTTAGGGCTCTAGAAAGCAGATGTTGAGGAAGAAGCCATTGGAAGTGATACGAGAATCAAACTTTTTGGAACGGTGGAACTCGGGGGTTGCAGTGTTCAGAGTCGTCGTCTTTACTTTCTTCCAACTTCTTCCGAGTTGTCGAGGAGGCTGCCCAGGTAAATTGGATTCGGGTCGTTCAATACCCGAGTCCATTAGAGAGACTAAATGGGCCGGACAGCCACTACCCGTATCTGGTTAACAGGGCCTAGCCCAAACAAAAGTGTATTTAGTGTTCTATTGTAAACTAGAAGTAGTTACGAATTAAATATTTAGTTTAATATTTTTTCTTTTTTTAGTATATCGGGTGGGATTAAACTAAGAACCTCTTACTTAGAAATATATGCTAATTAACACTTAACTGTGTTCGCTTTGATATATTTAGTTTAATTTAAAAGAGTAGTATTCATTAATTTATTAACATTCTTTTATGAACTTTGTATAATTATTATTTTACAATGCTATATAATTTATAATACATTATATTTTACATGTTTGAATTTTAACGAACATAAAATAAGTTTATAATATGAAGTAATAGATTTATCCAAGTTTTTATCATTTTTTATGTAATTCTAAAAATCTCAAAATTTTCAAATTCTAAATCTGAAAACATAAAAAAGTCGTTTTTAGAATTTGTACTGTCTAGATCATAGAATCAAATGGTTTTAAAAAACAAATCTCCTAAACTCCTTCAAATGCATATTGATTGAATCCATTTAATTCAGTGATTCTGAAAACAAGAAACGAAATACGAGTTTTCAACCAAACAGACCCTTATGGATATTTAGACTAAGTAACCCTTTTCGTATGGCGGCAAATTATACTGTTGATAACTTAAGTTTTCTATATGTCATTTTCATGTTGGAAACGATAACAAAAAAACAAGAAACTTGTTTTTGATATAATTATATCATTGATATACCTAAAAATAAAGTATATCACCGATATACGTAATATAAAACAAAGTATATCATTTTTATACCTGATATATCAATAATAAATCTACAATATTACTTAAACCAAAATCTTCAGATTTATGACTGATATACCTAATATGAATGAATGTTCAGTGTGATTGATATATTTTGTATTAGTAATATACTTAGTATTCAATATATTTAATGATATACTTCATATTAGGTATATCGATTTTTGAAAATGAGGTGGGCTAAATAAAAATAACAAAAACAAAAATTCTCGTTTTTAAAGATTTTGTCATATTTTTAAAATAAAAAAGATGTTGTTATGCTTACAAATATCGCAAATATTTTCTATACCCGCTAAAAATACCCTAAAAATCCATATAATCCAATATTAATTCCCTATTTTTTTTATAATTTGATATTGTAAAAATATAATCTAAAAAAATTCTCATCAATTATATAACCTTCGTTTGAAAAAAGTTCAAGCTAAAATATTTTATAAAAATCTCAAATTGATGTAAATTAACATGTTCTATGAAATAATATTTAAAATAAATATAAACTAAATCGGTAAAAGATAAAATAAAATATTGAACAAAACAATAATTTTTCCCACTAGACGAGTTTTGTGTTGTTCTGTTTTGTTCCAAATAGAGTTACATAACCTCCAATACTCGTAGATTAAAGAATGATAAAACAATATATTTTTGTTATTTTTAAAATTTTTCAAGGGTGTTTCTAAAAGATAAAAAAACATAAAAAAATTATTAAATACTTAGAATTTTAAATAAAATTGGAGATGAAAAAATAAGAAAAGAGAACGAAACGAACCGAAAATCTAAAATCCCCAACAAATAAATGGCCTACCCTCCTTATCTTCTCTATTATTGTTGGCATCAGTTTTCTACCAGCTACGTTTGTCTTTGGTACGTTACCAAACCGTTGGAATTTTGTGGAGACAAAACTAAATGTTGTTAATGAGCGGAAAAACCAAATAGCCCAATAAGCTATTTTTATTCCTCTCCGAGTTTGGCCTGCCATCAGTATATATATTACTATGTTTTTAGGCTAGGTCGTGTGTTGATGCACAACAAGGTGGTGGCCATTTTGTGTTGTTGCACAAATATTGAGAGGCAGTGGTAGCTGCTCCAGATCTCGAAGTTGTAGAGCAGCGTCAACTGACGTAGTCCGTAATTAGGTGAACTGGTATCTCGTATCTTTTCCTTTATTCTATTTATTATTGTAGTTGACTTAGTTTCTACTCGAAAAACTTTGGAAGGGAAAAAAGTTTCTTGATAAGTAAATTTTTCCAACACAAACTACCAACCTTATCATTCTCGTGGGTGTGCTAGTATTTGTGATCAATTGTCTCGAGACCATTTTTTACAACACTTGGAATACTTATTCTCAATTGAAATATTACTGAACTCAGTTTCCATAAACTCAAAATATGTAAATCTAAGTTTTAAGTATTTTGTACAAATCGCACTCGTAAGACATAAACCAAACACAAACAACATTTGAGTCAAAGTTTTTGAAACTCATTCCTCGCACAATTTGGTTTAAACATAGGCAGTACAAATTCAAACGTACCAACCTCGTGTTACATAAATATGGGGTTTATTAAAATTATTTTCTGTTCCTTTTCTATCTTTTATCTCTAAATCAAATTCTTGTTAGCAATAGTATCTATCTAATCAACCTATGCTTAGCTTCTTTTTTAGTAAACAAGTATTTTAATACAGAGTGATCCGTAAAAACTTATCAACTCATTTGCATTCACCAATGACACGTGCCTTTGGAGGCCGTGAGGCCCTTACTGCTGGTCGGCAATCGAGCGATGGATGCATGTGTCGTTTCTAACCCGGATTTTGACTTAGAGGCATTCAATCATAATCCAGCGCACAGTAGCTTCGCGCCACTGCAAATTGATGGAAATTGCTGCAGAATCACAACGACGATCAACATGCTGCTGCTTGTAGGTGCGCAATGCTGGTCTGCTAAGAGTCGTCAAGTTTAGGCTGCTACTGCCGTTCAGATGTCACGTTAAACATCCAATATACAACATTTGATTCCCAAGTCGAATTTTATTCGGGAGGTTAGAAGTTGGGGCCTAAGCAAATTTTCTTAACCAAGTTGAAGGTTTACTAATCACAACAAAAATAAACTCACCTCTAAAACTAGTCCTTGTTAATTTGATGTTGAGAGGATGTAGAACATCTTGGTCAAGTTTGTGAAGAGAAGTTCACACAACTTGGGACAATCAAATTTACCATCAGACTACTGTGTTGCTCAAGAATTCAAGAGGCAGAACTTGAAAACTCAAGATGTACATTTACACTGATCAAAGCATTCTGTGGCAGCTCTACCTTAAAACTCTCTCTTACAAGATACAAAAAGATGCAAAAAAAGGGGCTTATCTTGTTTCAATCTAAGTTCAGATGGCAACTCGACCATATTACATTTCAAGACAAACTTCACAAACAAAACCAGGAGCAGAGTTACGTACCAAAGGACTGTGTAGCATGCAATATGGCTCATCACAACGGTTGCGTCGCAGGCAATATGGCTTATTACAATGGTTGCATTTGGGAAGTCGGAGCCAGCAACTTGTACACAATGAACATGCACAAACAGCCTCTTCTACTTCGTAATCGGCTTCGTCGACGCATCCGCCACATTCTTCACACCTCTTAATGCAACCAGTACAGGCCCGGCAGTCTGCCTGCAACTTATCCTCTTGCTTTATCTTGCAGCTCTCCCTTGAGCAGTCGTAAACTCTCAAAATCTCATTGCACTTTGGGCAGATTTGTACATCAATCATCGGCTGGTATTCATCACTCAACAACTTCGATCGGTCAATATACTCATGGCATAGGAGACGCTGTTGTTGCTGCTGCTGCGATCGGTTTATGTGAAGATGGTATTGGAGGACTTCCAGGTGTTCATTCTCTATGTTGTAAATGCCTCCGATCATTATGCTCTTCAAGTTGTGGGAATGTTGAGACAGTGTCTTCACTGCCCTGACCACTCCCTCAGGGGTCAACCTTGTGCATCCAGGTACATAAAGCTGAATCAAGATCAAGAAGGGAAAAAGTTGAGCATGTTCTGTTTTTAAAAGTTCAAAAAAGGGGTAGTTGTTTTGATGCAGAAAATTTGTTTAACGTGATGATAATTTTCAAATAAATTTCCTGCAAGAATAGCGGAAAACAGCACATTTCACAATTTTCGTGTATTTCCTTTTGATGATTTCTAAATTAACTGTTTTAATTTTTTTTGATATCCATCCTTGTCCGGACTAGCTTGCACGCATATCGACTAATCTCACGGACAACCGCTCGATTTTAGAACATTTGACGTCGGAAAACACATAGGAATACCAATTACTAAGGTAGGTGGTCATCGGATTTGAACTTATTCTTTCTCAATTAACCCTACCTTACCTTTTTAAGGTAACAAAAGTAATCTTTCTAAACAGTTTTTCAAATTGAAAACGGCTGAAAAGCAAGAAGTTGGTTTCTATGTAAAAACTGTTTTCTAAGAAAAGCAATTCGATCATTCTTCCTATTGAACAATGATTTCATGTGGACAGTAAACCTAAACTAAATTAACCTTCTCTACAGGTAATTCTAAAAGCTGCGCATTATCACGAACAAAAATGGACAAGTTATTGAGAAGATGAACCAATCAAATCAACAAATGCATTTACGCGAGGATGTGGATACACCTTGCAGAGAAGAGGATTCCTCGCAACGACTTTGTGAAGTCCGGAATCTGAAATCTTAAAACATTTGATCAAAGCCAGAGTTCTAAGGCGACCATCGGCCTTCCGGACGATTCTCTTCAGAATCTTATCGGAGAGGCGGGAGCTCAAGCGTCCATCGACGAGGATGTGGGGCCAGGGCAACAAGTCGCGTTCCACAGCGTCTCT